TTGTATATTCTATAAAATTTCTAACATTTTGACAACTGTGTTCACAACATGAACACCTTCAACTAACAAAGACAATCCTCATCCCAGATTAGGGGGCAGAGAAAATAATGAGCCATGGATCATAGCTAGAAGTTATAATTCTCTGCTTTGAGAAGAGGGAAAGAATGAATTAATTCTTACAGGACAGGCAGTGTAATCTTTTTTCCTTTTTTTCAGTTTATTCTATACTTCACAGTCTTCTGTTTTTTGGGGCTGTTATTCTTCAATGTCAGCATCCGTCTGAAAATGAGTATTTTTAGACTTAGGAGAACTTCTTTTCAACATAAGAGCTAATGGCTGAATACTGATACAAGATGACAAAAGCTGGGCTGGATTTTAAGAGGTCATTAGAAGAAAAAAGTCTACACTATCAGTTTGGGGTTTTTTCCAGAAATATTTCCTCTTAGGTTTACAGAGCAGATAAACCTAAAGAGTTTTTTACTGAAGCATGAATATCTAGTTCAGCTGTGTGAATAAATAATAGTTTAGAGAATCAAATAATCATGAAAATGTCATGGAAAATGAAGGCTCCCAAGTCTGAAACTGAATTAACTTCTGGTTTAGCAATTCTATCCCCCCACAGCTCAGAAATTATATTGTGTATGTTCATGCAGATAAATTTGGATATATAATTAGATGTTTCGTCTCTTCATTTGCACATAGAAGGGCTTCCCTACTGGCTACTGAAAAAACATTTGTGTATGAATTTTAAGACACAAAATTGAAATGAGCTCACAGAGGCTGTGGAATCTCCATCCTTGGAGATACTCAAACCTTGATGGGACGTGGCTTTCACCAGCCTGCTCTGACTGGTCCATGTTTTACAGAGCTGTATTAATCTTGTACCACCCAGGACAGTCAAAATACACGTTATTATCCTTGGGAAAATTAGGGTAGTGGGTCAACTGAGGCAAATTAAATGTCAGATGGTGTTAGAGGCAGATACTTTGATCCTGAGTTTGTATGTCCCTCCTTCATATCCACCTCCAGGCCTTCCCACCACCCACTGAATGAACCCTAAATCTCTGCAAGCTCTGGAATAGCAGCCTCCCTGCAAGCTCTTTGCTCAGTGATCCATTTGCAGGACGTGTCGAGGACAGTCTCTGGAAGAGAGAATAAGGTTCCTGACATTTGGCTGAGGTTCATCCTGCCCAAACTGGGAAATTTACAGCGTGGATATCTACAGCTGAGAGAGTCCCTCCAAAATCCCTTCCCAGTTAACAAGAAATGCAAAATTCCAAGGCCCAAGCAAAAAGGAATTGAGACGAACTGGATCAGACAACCTGGAGTCAGGTAAAAGCTACCCCAGCCCAACTCCTTGTTTTACTAAATACTACAAGTACCTGCCTTTAAAACGGTATGAAATACTACTGGTACCTCCCTTTAAAACAGAAAAAAGTATCCTAAGCAAGTGAAGAGAAAATAAAGTGAAGAATTAATTAACTAAATAGAGGTGATTAAAGTAAATAAAGGAAACAATTATCATATCAAAATAAAAGACAAGAAACATGATTAAATGAGTCTTCAAAAGACCCATGAGAAACTCATGAAAGACATAATATGCATTTACCTGGCTTTTAGTCTTTCATGATTTCATTTTAATTTTTATTCACTACCATCTGATAATTGCAAGAAACAGTTACTTTAACCATAGGCAATTTAAACCATTTTAATTTTTTTTCCAGGGCCAAGAGACAAAAGAACCTATTTATTGCCTGAGGGGATTTTTACTAAAATGAAAGCTTAATCTTTCATGTTTTTTTAAGCAAAGGCTTTTAAAAAATCATTTCTAACAATGCTGTAGGGAGAGACTTCCATGGGTATGCAAAATTGAAATTATAAATTTACAATTATGAAAAAATTAATAGTTTGGGGGATTGTATTGTCTCTGTTCTTTCTGAATGAATAGTCTTTCAAGCATAAGAGAAAGTATTCAGCACATGGAGGAGAATGAGTGTCCTTAGACTCTCTTGCGGTCAAAGTTATTTAGTCAGAATGTAAGAGGGAAAGATCATTGGAGTTTAATTTGTTTGGAAATCCTCAAATATCAGATGTCCTGTTCGTTCCTCACTTCCTGGCCTGTTTTTCTGTGTTGCCAATGCATCAAAGTTGGTCTCACCATTATCCTCTCTGTACTAGTTTGATGCACCGAAGGTTGCTAAATATAATGTATGTAAAATCAGGCCTCAAGATGAATTTTAACTGAAATAACCACTTTTTGGGGCTCTTATGACACATTTTCAAAGGACGGAACAAGAGCTCTTGGTCAAAGATTGATTCAGGAGAAACCTTCAGGAAAGACACAGTTATATCTGGGTAGAGACATGGATAAGATTTATGTGGCTGCCATGGTTTAAAACATACTAGAAACACACACTTATGCCCACCCCAGTTCTGTGCAGTATGTTGCCTTTAACAGCATCAAGCAAAGGATTACATTTAAGCATCTACCTTTGCACTGCCCTAAATTTGGACTGTTTTCTCAACTGAGAAATATTAATTTAATACATTATCTGGAGAGACACAAACATTTCTTCCTGAGCTTAGTGCAGGCTTTGAAATCAGACAAAATAATTTACGCTTATGAAACACAACAAACTGAAGTGTTCTATTAAAAGAAAACTAGACCAAAAAAATATCCTCAAGGCCTCCAAACATCCACACACTAAAAGTCAGATTTAAATGTTTTCTGCCAACGTATCTCAAGCTTTAGTGGCAATTCTTTGAGATACTATGAAAAGCTTTATCAAACTAAATTCATTTTCCATAGAGCAGAGGAGGATCATTGAAGATATTATTCAGGTTTACAAAATATTTAACAGGGTGAGGAATGTGGAACCAAATAAGGAAGGTTAAACTGAAGAACATTTTAATAAGGCTGCATTTTAGGTTGGTTGTGCAATATAAATAGGTCAGTGGATCTATTAGATACACATTTTTCTTTGGCACACCAAAATGTCTAATATTAGAAACAATTGTGTACAGATACTATCTATAAGACTTTCAAAATCAACTGGCATACTGAATACACTATTTCAAAGGCTAAATATCCAGAAATTTCTGAAAATAACAAGTTCAATGTGTTAGCCAAAATCTTTAATCTCATTGGAAAAAACCTGGTGCCTGCTCTACAATACCACCCTGAGCAATACAAAGCTGATGTATCTGCCCAGCCCAGCTGAAGTACCTGGTTAATCACGGCCTCTGCAGACTTGGACATCAGATAAAAACACTTTCCAGGTACTCAAGGAGCCTCAAGACCATGTTAAGAGAGGGAACAGCAAGTCAGCCAGGTTGGATAAGAAAACTGTGTTGGAGAGGGAAGGATGCAAATGTGGACCTTAAGGTTGAGTCCAAGCTCTGTGCTGACATGGCAAGACAAAGTGCATGACAGGAATGTTCTGGTGCCACTTTGCTGCAGAGCAGCAATGATTAAAAAAGAGTTAATTTGCAGCCCCTCTGCACCATAGCACCGAACACCGAGAAGTCTTGTCAGTATGGATCAAGGTATGTTGAGTGCATTTTGGGAGGACAGGCTGCTCAGACATTTAACAGCTAAACTACAGAGATACCACAGAACATCCATGAAATGCAACATTTCTGCTTCTGTAAATGGGTGACATTTAGACAGGAGTAACGTGGAAACATTGACACTGGGACTAGCCTTTTGCAAAGCGTTAAGTCCCAGCTCCAGGACGGAGGGGAGAGATTGCTCAGGTTCAAAAATACATATATACATATATCAGCAAGCCCAAATTATTTTCACCCAACCTGCCTCTCAGAGATGTTGCTACTAAATATTATTTTTAGGTCGAAATGAGGCTCATGCCAGAAACAGGAAAATTCTGCACAAACTAGGTATTAACCTCTGTCCCAAACAAACAATAAAACTGCAATATAACGGAAAGCCTTGGCCAGTGCCAACACCCGGCACCACACTCGGTCCCAGTTCTATTGTGCAGTGAAGGCTGTTTTCCTTACTGATGAGCTCAAACCGTCTGCCATGAATTACTTTTTCACGGGGAATAAATACACACTTAAACAAGATGAAACACAAACGTTCTTTAGTGGTGTCTAAAATAATATGAATGTTTTTTAGAACAGCAATAAACACACTTCATGATGCAAATAATTACACCCTGCAGCCTTTATGTAACGATAAGTGGCCAGATTCTCCACTCAGTTACATCACTGTAAATCCAGAGTAACTGCACTGAATCAATATCTCTCTCTCTCTGGATTCTGGAGATGCTGAAGTGTTGCTGAAGTGTTACTGAAGTTTGAATTTACCCTGATTTCTCTCTAGGGTTTTGCAGACATCAGACATTCATGGCTGGAAGTCCACAGGGTGGTCATGGAGGCATCCCCACCTCTTATCCTGTCCCTTTTTCCCCCCATAAAGCTGTCTTTTGACTAGTCTTTTGTCTGTGTATTCCTTGTGCATCTGATATCACTTCTGTGACTGTATACTCAGGATGAGAAGAAAGCTCAGTTGAGCCACAGTAAAAAAATAGAAGGAAAAAAAGGAGAGAATGTCTTCACCATGATGGGTAAAGGCAATTCCCAGCATGTGCTGGGAATCAAAGATCAGCCTCTCAGAACCACCTGAGTTGATTTTTCTGTAGGACAGGAAGAATTTGGTCATGTTCTGAAGTCTTCCTGAAAAGTTAATTTTAGTTTAAGTTTCCCATGCAATTGCAGTTTTCACACAAAATTTTGTGAGATGGGTCTGTTAGGCTTTAATGGCCCCTGAAATGACTCAGGAAAGGTGAACATGTCCACATCAGATCACTTGAAAAAGTAGTTATTTCCTTAAAAACAACAGCAACAGAAATGTATTCAGTAATTAAAGGGTCTCCAGAATGCATGTGGGCGTGGAACCTAAACACAACATGGAATCACCATTTTAACTCTCACGTTCCAATTTACTCCCATGTTGAAATCAAGCACTCTGCTCTTACCGGGACTTGTGAGGGCTCCCAGAGCACCAGTCGTTGTGGAGAGAGGATTTGCATTGGTGGTGGTAGCTGAGGTCTGGGCGGCGGCTGCTGCGGCTGCTAAAGTTGCCAAATTCTGTAATTGTAAAGCGTTCATGCCTATGTGGAGAAGAAATAGGGTTAATTAAAACAGGTAATAATCATCATCACCATCATCATCATAATCATCATCATAATGAAAATAGTTAATGGATGTGGAGCTTGGGGTGTGCCTTGCCAAGAAACTCAATTCTTCTCACTCCCAAGACATCTATATTCTGGAACCACTTCCTTCACTTCCTGAACGGTATCTCTCACTTCTCTACCTTGGAGTTGAGAAAATGCAGCTAAGGCACCAGCCTATGCTTCAGGAAAATTAAACCTGGTTTGTGCCTCTTCTGTAAGGGTAGTGCAGAATTAAAAGTCATTTAAACTCTGTGTGAAGCCCAGGCGCAATATTATTTCCTGACACAACAGGGGGTGTAAAGAAGATAACTAACATTTAAAACACATTCAGGACAGGGTCATATAATTGGGATGAACACAATTTGTTTCCCATGTCTCCTCTGAACATAACTACTAAGGTTACACTGCACAGTAACCAATAATTGTGCTCAATTTCCTTTTGCTAGTTCATTTCTAAAAACATATATGAACTAAGTACATCAAATTAGTATCAGCCTGACCACAGAGCCATCATTGAGGCTGGGACTTTTGGGCTGTAAGCTCTGGACTGTGATATCAAGTTACTCAGTCATCTGTTGCTTCACTATTTTAGAAGATGCAGGGGAGATATACCTGCATTTTAGTGAGCACCTTCGAAAATGGAGGCATTTAAATAGCAAGGGCTTTAATTTAGATTTTAACACAGCATGTTCCAACAGGCAGGTCAGGCCTCAGGTGAGCACCTGGTCTGGCTGAGGTTCTAATGTCTGTGCCTCAGTCAATACCCAAAGTCAGCTCAGATGGTGCTTTTGAAAATGTGACACTGACAATTATAGGAGTTAAGGTTTTAGCTGATCCAAGATACAGCCCTTCTTAGTCTGTAATCTGTACAGTGCACTTGGAGGAATTATGTGACCAAAAATGCTCTTTCAGGTTTCTTTTGGAAGCTAATGACCATCTTAAAAAATAAGTCTTCTCTCAAACACTACCCACCCAAACAATTTTGCAAGATGCAATTCAAATTCAACTGTTGTGCCCATGTGGATGCAAAACAAATACCATCATTGCCTCATCCCACAAAATCTTTTTTTTTTTTTTTTAATATAGTGGGATGTTTCCTGTGGAAACACAAGAAGAACCCATCAATTTGACAAACGAGTTCAATGCCCGTAGAAGATGAATGAACAAGAGCTCAGTGGAGACAAAGTTGTCTCCCCATCTGATCTGTTTTACTGTAGACTATAAGACCCTGGCCACAAAACAGGTCTGCAGATGTTATAGGGTGTCAGCTTGGGTGCCTGAGGGAAAAAAAGACTCCTTGCTGTTGTCACACTTGAGCAAGAGCACCCAAATGTGACTGTCAGCAAGGGCTCATGGCACACACTGTCACCCAGCACGCTCTAGAGCTGATTTTGTCAACAGTTTTATCACTTAATATGCAACCTTTTTAGGATCCTCTGTCTGCTTAAACATCTAAAAAATAAGTCCTGTCATCACTGTTTCATGTTCCCCAGGCATTTTACCATCTCTGCTCCCTCTTTATTGGTTTCTCCCATCAACTTGTCAGGAGCATCAACGTCCCACTTGATAGGATGACCTCAGAGGAGGGAAGCCAAATGCTCTCAAGTCCCACTCCCAAAATGTACTTTGCTTTGAACTGGGGATTTTGAGTTCAACTGAACTGCAGCTGAGGTACAGTTCTGTGGGATGAATCTGCTTTCTCATTCTCTCCCCTTTCACACACTCTGCACACATTTCACATCCTACAGTTTTTTCAAAGCAGTCCCAAATCCCGCAAGAGGGCTGGACTGCAAATGAGTAGATGGGTTTTATTTGAAAGTGCTGCTCACTCAGCAAATGCACCTCTCTCTGAAGAAATGCAAATTGCTTAACACTGAGGAACAGCCTCATAGGCAGAGCTGCACATGAAAAATGAAAATCCTGCCGTAGAGGAAAAAAACCTTCTGGGTACGGAATAACTCTTGATCTTCATGATGGAGACAATGTTGGGAATTAAAGGGAAGTGATTAAAAAAACCAGAATCACAATACAGTTTGATTCCATTTTTAATAACATGTATTTACCAATGCACTATCAGCTTGGCAAATATTCAAGATTGCAAGGAAATTCAACTTTCATTTTGTCATTTGGCAGATTAAAAAAACAATTAAATTATGTACAAAACAGATGCACAGTATGTCTTGCTTGAAACTTAAGATTTTTTAAAAAAATTATTTATAAGGATAGGGGCATGAAAATTTAATTTAATGTTCACCTTAGGTAATTTTGTGTCTTATTGTTCACAGCAATTACCATAAATCTACATATCAATAAGCGAGAACAGATGTCAGTTGTTACAAGTGCTTGCCAATCAGGCCTGTTAAAAAGTGACAGATGGATGGTGATAGAACATTCTCATAAGGCCTATTAGCACATTCACAGGAAATTTTTGTAGTGCTGCACAGTCACAGATGCAGTTCTGTGAAAACACGGGGAAATTTGAGAGCACGAGATTTACATTTTACAACTTCTTGTGCTGCCTCTGACACAAACTTTCATACAATGAAGCAATTTGCCTCGTTTCAGTCACTGCAGCGTTTCTCCTCTGATAACTGTAAATTTGAAATTATTGGGTATTTGTAGAGGAGGGAACAGAGTCACAAGCCGTTCCTGAAGACTTCTTAGGCCTCATCAGCTCTTGGGTTTCCAAAACCATAATAAACTCATATTAGGAAATAGCTGAGATTTGCTTGCTGAACAAATTCCTAAAAAAGGAAGGCACTGGCTACATTTAGTGACAACATATGCACAGAGAATTTAAAAGTCAGTGGTGATTATCAGAACCAAATCTGATAGCTCATAAGTAGTTCTCACTGACTTGACTTCTTTCTCTTTGGAAATTCTGTCCTTCTCAATTACTAGGATTTATTCCTTCTGAATTAAATCCTCACTGCAGCTTAAAAAATGTGGATTAAGGTAAAATTTATCATCTCCAGGCCAAAAAGCAACTATTTGCTGACACTGACATCAGCCATTTTGGATGCTGATGGTACAAATGGGTGTAAAGCTGTGGAGCGCAATGTTATTCCAGCTATATTCTAAGAATTAAAATACACAGGGGACCTGAGCACTACCTCCATCAAACTGTATATATTTTGCCTAACTTTAGAAAAGCTGCTTAACTGAACAGTGCTTGAGGTACCCTGACCAGTTACAGTTTGATTTAGCAAAGCCCTTAAAACAACTTTTAAATTCACATTGATTCTGCCCTATTTTAAGAGTACATGCTTAAATCTAACTGGAAGTTCGTAGACTCATAGAATGGCTTGAGTTGGAAGGATATTAAAGATCACATAGTTCCAACCCCACTAGAGCCATTTGTTGACTTAGGTGGGATTTCAGCCCATTTTCAGGTTACATATGCTATAAACACATCCTGGCAAGAAGTGTGCTTTTCTCAGTTGAAACTGCTCCAATCCTAGTGGGAAGGATTCATCTGATCTCACTTAATTCTAATAAAAGTTACTCTCTCGGGCTCTTGCTATAGTCTGAGAAGAGAGAGGGGGCGGATGAATCATCTGATCCTAAAATAGAATCACAGAAGCATAGAATGGCTTGGGTTGGAAGGGACCATAAAGATCAACTACTTCTCACCCCCTGCCATGGACAGGGACACCTTCCACTAGACCAGGTTGCTCAAAGCCCCATCCAACCTGACCTCGAACACTTCCAGGGATGGGGCATCCATAGCTTCTCCGGGCAACCTGTGCCAGGGCCTCACCACCCTCACAGTGAAGAATTTCTTCCTAATATATATATAATATTTTCCTAATATCTATAAAATAGATAGATAACATCAGCCTTTTAGGATGAATCGCTGCCGGGGAGTGAGTCCCTCTTCGCTGACATTGCAGGGAAACAGGATGACTACTTTCCAAACTGCTGAGGTTCTGTGGGATGAATTCCTTCCACAGAGGAGCCAAGGTAATAAAAAGCCCCTCACCCTCTTTTTACTGGTTATGGAAAGACAAGAGAGAGCTACAGATCTTGTGCCCAGACTTGGCCAAGCTTCCATATCGTGCACTTTCACCACCTGAATAAGCATCTCATCAACAGCTCAGCATTGGTTTTACTCTTAGGGTGCCTCTCCTTTTCCTGTGAGAAGGAATAACATGTGGATTGAGAACAGGCTCACTTGCTTCAAATTCTTCCTCCCCCAAAAATGCTAAACAGAGTTGTTTAATTTATTAGCTAAAAGAAAAAAAAAAAAAGCTAATTGTATGTGTTAAATTAACTAGGACTTTCAATGGAATTAGTATTACAAAAGCTCAATGTTTTTGGTCCCTGAGGTCAACATTTTCAAAACTGGTAGTTATCTTTAAGAAACAGCTATCTCCCCTGAGCTGGAAACAGTTTCTCAGTGACCTTTACTTTTAATATGATATCCCTAAAGAGGTCATAGCAGGAGAAACCCTCCTTCAGTATGGTTTTGCTGGAATGAAGCCATGCAAGAGTCAGAGGATATAAAGGATCCTTGGGCCAGTGCAAAAGTATAGAGCTTTTGTGCAGATGGTCCTGGCTTCCAACTGGTCCCTCCAGATCTACTGAGCCAATCCAACAATTAGAGGAAAATATTCAGAAAGCAGAACCTTGCAGAGTTTCTCTCACCCATCTGGTCCTACAGACTCTGCAACAGGAGGAAATCTGGCTTGGGTAGCAGAAGAAGGGTGGAATGGATTGAACTGGGCTCAGAAAGGGCCAGAAGTTCAACCCAAAATGCAACCAAACTATCAGAGAACTTGGAAAGGACTGGAAAAAAAAAAACATACATTGGAAAAATATGAAAAGTCCCAGCTGTAAAGGGTTTAGGGATCTTAATGCCAAAGAAGAAAAGCCAAAACCATGGTTTCTCCTCCTGTATAACTTCAGGAAGCAAAATACACTGTCTATTCAATGAAATTTAGAGATACCCTTTCTGTTTTTTATGAGTACTGCACGTTTTTATGTCCTGAATGGTCACACATATAGAAATATTGCTGTATGAGCCAATATTTATTCCTGCCAAAACATTTGACATTAATGGACAATAGAAAATCTTCATAGATCATATATTTTTTATATATTGAAAACACTGAAATATTTTTTACAATCACCCTAATAACAGTAAACCTCCCTGTTTATACTGTCTGTATAGTACTTTACAGGCTCATTGGCTTAAATAACTGCAGCTTTTAGGACCTGATCTAGTGCCAGCCAAATTCAATGCAAACATTCAAGCAACATCAATCTCCTTTGAACTAAGCTTTCCATGCAATTTGTATATATTTGAAGGAGGAACTTCTGTTTGGTTGAGAGGTTGCTAGTGCTTAATGTAGCTTGCATTGTCTTTTAAAGTAAGACAATCAAATCCCATAATGTAATTCATCTACATTATTAGCCTTCCCCAAAGACAAAGTGCAGGCTAGACGCTGAGGCTGGAGAGGTATGTGAGAGGAAACATTGTCTTTAAATTAGCATGAGCAGATATCAGAGGAGGGGAGGAAAAGTGAGGAATTGCTCACTATAAAATATACACATGAGGATGGCATGTGCTTTCATGTTTTATACAGGACAACGAAGCAGAGTTTGGCAAGGAAGGGTTGGTGCCTCCCATCAGGACCACGGGATTACTATAACACCAAAGGCAGCACTGCCAACTCTCCCAAATTTATTACCAGTCTCAACATATTTACATTGTTTTCTTTGGCTTGACTCATGAAATAAAACGATTTCATTAAAATCTCTTTTTAATAAAAAGTCAGAAAAACCTAATCCGAGGAATTAAGTGTGGAACCTTAAAGCTTGGAAAGCTAAATGGTAATCTACAACTTTTTGTCTCTCATATTTTAGTATCTCAGATTTTAGTTAGAACGGTTTCATAATTTGCTTGGACTTCACAAAATGCTAAATATATAGCAGGGTCAGTGGGCTGCTACAGCTGCCTTAGAGCTGGTGCTGTGTGTTTAATGTCTGTATCTTACTGAGTTCTTGAGAAAAATCCCAATATTTCATTGGACTGTATTCTCACTTCCAAACAAACAGAAAAACTCCAACACTCTTGAATCACAAATGTTTAAAAATCCCACTCCTTTCACCAAAATCAAAGAACCACAGCTTTTGCAACACAAAAACTACTTTAACCATATTGAGGCATAATAGTAGGGAAAGGGAATTTAAAACTCCACACTGAAGACCAGTGTCTTCGCTCTGCTGGCAAAGAAACTTGCTTTGATTCAAGAAATAATATCACTGAGCAGAGCAAATAATTCTTCACATGTGTAGTGGGGTGTGTGCTGTGTCCTTTTAGTTTTGTACCAAGACAACACAACTTTAGCAATACAAATAAATACTTGCAGAACCAAAGGGCCCTAATTTTGGACAAGGGGGTGGCTCTATCAGAAATCCTAATGTAGCAAACCATGACTTCATCAAGATTTAAGCACAAAAGAGATGCTAGAACCCTGGCATGCAAGTAAGAGTGGAATTTCCTTGGCTCACATGGCTTTTGATCAAACTTTTAGTGTCTGAATTCCATGGTATGCACACCCATTGACTTCAAGGATAAAAGTTGCACCCCTCAAACACAAAGTTCAAAGAACTTGAAAGCAGCAATGATGGATCTTCTTTAGCACCTTACTCAACTGTGTCTAGATTTTATTCCCCACTTGGAAATGTTATATCAAAAGGCAAACTATATGCAATATAAAATTACATGTTAGATTAATTTTTGTAAAATGAACCTGTACAGCTTAAGTTAAAAAACTGTGGGCCTTTACAAGTGTTCAAAGACAGCTTCAGTGGGTAATGTAAGCTCTTGCTGCAGACATAGGAGTATTTTCTATTCCTTTCACAAAACATAATATACAAATTGTTAATATTGGATGCATTGCATGACATAATACTGCCTGATTTCTGAGAACACGAACTCCCAGTTCTAACAATGAAATAGTGCTTAGTCTTTGGCTCTTTCATGTAGACGTGCAGCTCAGAGAACAATCCAGTATCAATAATTTTACCTTGAACATAAACATTTAAGTTACATGTTTTGGGGAAAGAAAGGAGTGAACTTCAAGCTGTTTTGATAACATAAATATAAGCTATAAAATACGTTTTTCCAAGAAAGGCAGTCAGTCATTAAATTATCCCATAGATGAGTGCACTAGCAATCTAATTTGTAGCCGAGAAGGTATATCCCTCGAGTAACAATGATGTGCCAACTGTGATTTCTTAAGATGACTTTCTCCTCGTCTCAAGACCATATGATTTTCAGAGAATAAATCACAGCATGGATTGAGAGCCCATCCTGAAGTTACTTGACTAAAATCCTTAGTTTCAACAGAGTTCTTGAAGACAGAGGTGAATCTACACTACCAGTGAAAACCAGACAAACAAAAACTTCTAAGGTGCTCATAATGCGATAGATATCACATTATTTTTCCTTGGTGTCTCAATTCTTTCATTTTGTAGACCTAACCGAATATGAAAGCATTAAAACACAATCTCTGAGCTCAAAACCACTTCCAAAACTGCCAAGTATAAAACTGTTACTGACCCGTTCTGTTCTGTTTATCATATTAAGATACATTTTTTTGATGAAAAAAAATGCTAGATTGCAAGTGTAACATAATAGAAGCAGCAAGCACTGCCAGCAGGTCTGAGGAAGAGAGAATAATTCAGAGATATTGTCATCTGTAGGCCAATTTATATTGTCAGACAGCAGGTTCACATTAGTCTCTGATGTCACTGCAATAATGGCATAATATAATGATTGAGCAAAGAATACCTGTGGGGTATAGCTATACAGTGAGGTATATCTATACTTGTTACAGAATTTCAGGCTTCATTCAAAGTAGAACGAGAAGAAGCAAAAGACTAGGAATAAAAAAAGAATGAGAAAATGGTGTTCATAAAGACTTCTGAATATTTTAGCCCTTGTTTTATGATGATGAAGCAAGCACAATGTTGTATCTCATTGATTCAGTGGGTTCATGATTAAAATAAACTAATGTAGCAATTTAGGGGTTTTGTGATTCTTTTTTTTTTCCCCTGTAACAAGAAAAAAAAGCTTTTTAACAGTTCCTCGCGGCAGGCATAATGTGCATCTGTGCTCTGATTTACTGCACATGCTGCCTTCTCTAGCATCATGTTAAGTTAGGATATCAGCATGGTAGGTCACACAGTGGGAGTGACCTTTTGCTAATCACTACACATCAGTTACTACTGGCACACAGCTCATTACTAAGAAACCCTCCAACTAGCTGGCTTTCAAATCCGCTCACACTTTGATTCTTTTTTCCCCTTTCCTTCCTTTCTTCTTTTTCCTCCAGACTAAAGATTATACTTTTACATAAAATCTCTGTTGTGTAATTTCGCCGACTAGGGTTCCAAAGTCAAAAAGGCACCCAGTTAATTTTCCATGATTATAAAAGGAGCCTGAAAATTCATGCTGAAGGTAGGCCTGTAATCTTGGGTTTCATTAAAAAGGTCAGAACATTTTTCCTCACCACCTATTATTAAAATGTTTGAGGGATGCCATTAATTTGATTTTTCAGGACACAGAAATCTCACTGGAAATTAGAATGTAATCCTGCTGTTGCTTTCCTGACACTTTTCATAGGGCAGGACACGGCTGCAGGGACTAAGAGCTCTCCTGCAATTTACAATTGGTTACTTTGGCCAAATGGCAGGTGACTAATGCAAGACAAACTGTTTGCACAACCTGGGAGCACTGGGTTTAATTTCAGTTCTGAAAGAGGGGAGAAAGTGTTTCTATTGACGTTGAACCACGAGCTGTCCCCTGCCAATACATCTGCCACATTTAATAAACAACATGCCCCCCGCCCCCGACAATGTGATTATTAGAGGTACAGAATTCAATAGCTTAAGAATACAAAACATAGCTGGAGCAAAGTGAAATGGTTTTTAACTCACCGGCCATTTGCTGAATGCCGCTGAAGGCACCCAAGTTACTGGAGGAAGTTGCTTGCTGCAGAAGCTGCAAATGAACAACACAACACAGCAATCTATCTGACAGTAATGCAACAAATGAAGATAAAACTAAAATGAGCTATCATTTCACATTTGGAGTATTTCTGCTTTCCTTTACATTTATATAGTCTCTTGCTTCTGTCTGCTGTTGGAATGAACATCCCTAGAGTCAATGCTGTAAATCCATATTAATGTCTAATCTCTATTAAGAAACACAGAGACACAAGGGAAACTCAATAACATGGCTGCTTTAAAACAATTAATCAATTTATTCTTTTTAACAACCAGGTGTTAAATCTATTTAAACCAACATAGTGTGACTAATTACAACCCTCTGTAGTCTGGTAGTTACCATAACTCATCTCTGTCAATCACAGTCCATTCTCCCCCACCTCTGTGAATTCAGTTTTTTTTTTATTATCTTTATGAATCAAGCACACAGATATTCATTAGACTGGTATTTGTATATATTAATTTAGCCTATCTCAGTATTAATTATCCTACCTCAGTATTAATACATATTTTTAATTGCTGGGTAAATTGCTGTTTATAACACTATACCAAAGCACTGTACGCACACAAATTATGTATTTATGCATACCCGGTACATATATACAGATACATCTATTTCATAGAATCATAGAATCCTAGAACAGTTTGGGTTGGAATGGACCTTAAAGATCATCCTGTTCCAATTCCCCTGCCATGGGCAGGGACACCTTCCACTAGACCAAGTTGCTCCAAGCCCCATCCATCTTGGCCTTGAACAGCTCCAGGGATGGGGCATCCACAACTTCTCTGGGTAACTCATGCCAGTGTCTCACTACCCTTACAGGAAACAATTTCTTCCTAGTCTAAACCTGCCCTCTCTCAGTTTAAAGTAATTACCCCTTGTCCTGTCACTAAATTCTCTAGTAAAAGGTCCATCTCCAAACTCCTTGGAGACCCCTTTAGGTACTGAAAACTCTAAGGTGTCTCCAGAGCCTTCTCTTCTCCAGGCTGAACAACCCCAACTCTCTCAGCCTGTCTCCATAGGAGTGGTGCTCCAGCCCCTTGATCCTCTTTGTGGCTTCCTCTAGTCTCGCTCCAGCAGCTCAACATCCTTCCTACGTTGAGCTGTGACCCAGAGCTGGACGCAGCACTTCAGGTGTGGTTTCATGAGGGCAGAGCAGAGGGGCAGAATCACCTCCCCCAACCTGCTGGTCACATTTCTTGTGATGCAGGCCAGGACATGACGCAGGCCAGGACATGACTGACTTTCTGGGCTGCAGGCTCACATCCACGGGTCATGTTGAGCTTCTCATCCACCAACACCCCTAAGTCCTTCTCCTCAGGGCTGCTCTTGATCTATTATTCTCCTCCCAGCCTGTACTTGTGCTTGGGATTGCCCCAACCCAGGTTCAGGACAAGGCACTTGGCCTTGTACTTCATACGGTTCTATTTGTCTAACTCAGAAGCATCAGGAACTCTCAAGTTATCCAAAAGCTCCTCAGCCAAACGTCTCAACTCCAGAGCCACAAAAGGCAGAGGCTCCCTCTCAGCTGAGCTGCAGGGCAGTCTCTCTTGGCCACCCATGACCTAAGACAGGTGGCTGTGGATTTCAGATTTTCCAGCAGGGACAGCAGCTAACACCTCATTCTCACCTTACAAATGGACCAAGGAAAATATAATTTTAAATTTATGAGAAATAAATGGCTTTTCCTGGCCACCTTCACTTTCATACATGAGGCTGTATGAACCACACATGTTTAGCATTGACAGGACCATGCATTAAAGAAAAAGCCATTCCCAAATGAAAATGTGGAAAATTAGATGATTGATCTACAACATTCTAGTTTAGAGGCTGCACCATATAGATATGGCCTCTACTGTAGGCCATACTGAGCTGCCTGTCTGTCCTCCCCTAAGGAAGAACTTATATTTTATTCCAGCTATAAAACCCAGACTCTAACATTCAAAAACCCAATAAAACTAATGAAATCAAATTTTATTTATGGTTGAGGGGTTGGAACTAGACAATCTTTAAGGTCTCTTCCAACCCAAGCCTTTCTATGAATCTATGATTTATTTTGCAGCACGGGGGTACTTTAGATGCTTGCCTTTGACAACACTGACACATCTCTAAATGCTTATCTGGTTTCTATTCCTTGTTATTTATTTCTAGTCCATGTGATAAACATACCCAGAAGACACACTACGTATCCTGGAGGGCTTAGCAATTTATTGCAGGGAGTTTACTATATGGCTTACCACGGTTCTAAAATAAATACAGTATAATACAGCCACCGCCTCTGCAATGAACTTACAGCTAGATATTGTGGCGTGAGTCCTCCAAGACCTGTGAGGTTTCCCCAAGTGGCAGTATTGAGCTGTTGCATCTGCTGAGCCAACTGCTGCTGCAAACGCCGCTGCTCCTTGTCCTTTTGGGTGTCAGCAAACTTCACCACGATTGGCGAAGAGCAGCCCTGTGGTCAGACAGATCAGGAAAGACAGAAGGGTTAAATCACACCGAGTCATCCTCACACCCTGAGCTCAGCCATGTCCTGTAGGGCCACTGGAAATGGCACGACCAGGTCGTTCAGCCTCTCTTTGTGACTGGCATTTGTAGGACTGCAAGGACTAAGATTTTCAGGTTCTTAGGAAAAGAGGCCATGAAGAAATTATTGATTCCCCGGTTCTTTTTATAAAGCACCTTTCCTCAGGCTCTCTTTTCCTTCCAGCTATCAAAATCGCTGCCAGAGACAGCAAAGTGTACCAGTCCGCTTTAATTAAGCTTCACCGCTGATGAGATGGACGTGATGCTTTGTCTGCAGTCTGTTTTTAAGGCATTGCCAAAGGGAGAGGTGTCCAACCTCTCTGCTGCCAGGGACCACACAGCCAACACCTCCCTGCCACCACGGTCTGGCTGTGCAGTCACACTCAGTGCAGCTGGGCTTGTGTGCCCTACACTGGCTTGTGTTCCCTGTGTAAACAGACTGTGAGCAGCAGCCTCACTGCATCGCCCGTCATCAGTGAGCTGCTGATGTGAGTTTTCATGTCAAGGACCCCCAGTCAATTCACCCACCTGTGGTCCGCTCCCAGGCACGCTTTGTATCAAGCACCCTTGAGATGTGAACAAAGGGCAGGATGCAGACCAAAAGTGACTAGTTCTGGTGATAGCAGCCCCTTCCTGATTGCCACCATTTCTTCTATTGCTTCTATCAGCCTCTTGTTACATGATATGGGAGGGCTGTTAGACGCCTTAGGAAATAGAGAAGCTGTAAGAAAGAACTAGAGATCTGGTCTGCAGCCTAGGCCTCACCCATGTCTGAGGGACTGTAGGGAAGAAGTAGGAGGTCAAAGACCAGATGGACTTTTGAGGTAAGCTGGAATTACCCTTGGACTTCAAATTATGCATTCCTGGGCAAAGTCACTGAGAGAACGAGATGTGATTATGAAAGATGTCTTTGTTGATTTCTCTGTGTTTCTTTTCCATGCTAGGAGATGTTTCACATTTTAACTTTTCAAGTCTTCATTTTTTTCAAATCAAGGAAGCAAACTATATACTGCAATGATTCAGTTCTTCAAATTAATTCAAGCATTTTATGAGTCATAGAAACTGTCAATCCATTTCATACTGCTTTTCAACTTCATAGGATCCAATGAATAACTTCCCTCCACCCGCCATGCTTTGTTATACTAATTTCTTGTCTAACTTCAATCTGAACACAATGGTAGGAGTGATAAGTGACTCAAGTCCAAAAAACACAGCAGTGCTTTAGACAAAGTGTATAGCGTGGGATGCGGAGCAGGGTTATACTTAACCTAATTCTTCCCGTGGCTGCCCTCACAACACTGTGAACATCTTCAGAAAAGATCCTGTCCTTGATTATTTACAAAAAGCAGCCATGTACCTTTTCCTCTGAAAAACCTCACACCAGGACAAATAATAAAAATATTCACAATCATCAGATGAAATGATGAAATAAACCACAATAACAATATCTCTTGTATGAAGATCTTTCATCAAAACCATTCCTTTAGAATTATCTTGGAAAATCATCACCTGTGATTTATTATTCCACCTCCAATTCCTTTCCTGTGTGTTTCATTGTAAAAAGGTCTTTCAGTGTTTCAGTGAGAGAGAAAGGAGATACATAACACTCCAGCAATCAAATAAAGATTATGGAGGAGTTGGCTTGTTACACAATTACCTCTCTCTAGTGATTTTTATACTAATATTAAAAATAAGATAATTTAAAAAAAAAAAAGAAAAAGGAGCCAGGGGGTGGAGAGTATGAGAGAGATTTTTCGGGTTTTTCTAATAAAAAAAAGCAAGTTGTTTCTATTTATTACAAGGTTTGGTAACACCGGGTTAAGAACAACCGGAACTTACTGCCTTCTGCTTAGATGTACAGGAGAATAAAGTCTATTTCCAAAGAAATAGAAATGAATATCAAAGGAAGAAATATTATATGGCTATTTCAGTTTTCAGTTCAGCAGCTCAGCACTCAACACTACAGCTGACATATTTATGAATGCTTAAATGTCAGTAAATTGTATAAAAACAATATCTCTGCAATTTATGAATCTATAATTCATTTTTTTCACTGTCTGCTCTATATTTCATCACTTCATCATTTTCAAGAAAGCAAACATTCTGAAGACTGAAATTATATCTAGCAAGTGGCTCTATATGAGAAAAGGGTTGTTATTGTTGTATCAAATTTACTCCATGATAACAAATTAGTGTCTTCTACTGATGCTGCATTTGAATGCCTTAAACAAACAAAAAACCTCCACAGAAATGAGATAGAAAAGCAAACACTCTAGAGCAGCAATTACATTTTTTAAATCAGTTGATTTAATCAGGTCAGTAAGTCAGGTGGAAAGAGCAGTAAGAGAATGTATCATTATATGACGTGTTCATCTGGACTTAACATCCCCATTGTTCTTTCTTAGCCCACTTTGAAAATTCATCTTGGTCAATGATGCGTGCTAAAGAAGTGAAAATAATGAAATCAGAAAAAAAAAATCTGTAGTAATTGGGTTGAAATGCAATTGTGTACTATACATGGTCCCCTAAGTCCACTTTTGTTTGCAAAAGAACATGAAACAAAAGTGTCCAAGGATGACTGTTTCAGACTGAGAGTTGACATTTAATGCCAGTCAACCCAAGTTAACTTTCTGCTAGAGGAGTCTTGGCAAAAGTGAGCAATATCTAATTTTTTTTTTGCCTACAGGGTGATTTCTGTTTTATGCACTTCCATTTTCTATCTTGAGAGGAGGTTTCCAGCACATACACAAGGTGCATTTCCCTTCCTCTTTCAATGGCATGGTATGTCCATATCATTTAGCGCCATTTTCTTCCCAACAATTTGTGCTGCCTTCATATTTTCCTGTGTCTTGTCAGGGCAGCAGGTACAGCCTCCAATGAGTCCCTCCCTCATGGAGAGGGAGTGTGTACGGTCTCTTTCCAAGAAGGGACTCCCAGCCTAAGCTCAACTGACACAAAGACCCAGATATTCAAAGTGCAAAATATTTGGAATTGCCTTGCCTACATGGAGATCTCAGTGATGATGTCTCTAAAGGTGTTGAGAAGTATTTTGGTCCAAGAGTCTATAGAATTGATCCAAGATTCTATAGAACTAATGACACTAGGATTATCCCATCAAAACCCAGCCTCTTTTGGAGTGCTGCATACAACAGAGGAATGGGAGAATTTGTCTGGGAGGTGTTATGTCTTTAATTTTACCATCTTCTGAAGTAGAGCTGTGTAAAATTCATTTTGCTAGACAGAAAAATACATTAAAACACATGGAAAATATAGGTAAAACACAGTATTACCAATAAACATTTCCGTTTTACTTGGAATCAAACCCATCAAAACATATATATCTGAATTAAAGGAGCAGTGCATGGCAGACAAATTACTACAGGTATTATTTTGAGACTCAAAGTGGCAGTTTTTTCATAATATACTATCAGACTGCATAGACTGTATAACAGCAGCTTTCTAGTAAATATAATTTCAATTATTCTCATCTCATTGGTAGATTCTCATCTAAAACTGTATACCCAGGGTCTAAAAATGCATTGCACTGAAAAGAAAACACATCGATTATAAAAGAAGCTCAACCAAATTCAAACGTGATGTTTGGAAAGACAATAGCTTTGCAATGCCGATATCATTACTTGTACTATACAGGAAACAGTTAGTGACAGTTTCATGCACTAGCTGGAATTTTATCTTCAGCTCCTTCTCCTCTGTCCACCCTCCCACCCCTGGTCTCCCCCCTTGGCTCGTTACACAAAGCAGCTCAACGACATGACGCAATAATGATTGTTTAGCACCCAGCATGCTTTGGGAGACTAGAGCATTGCAAAGGAAAATCACTGAGAGAAAAAAAAAATAAAAAAAATTGAAAGGTCCTGGTGGAAAAAGAAATAAAAAGGAAAAAAAAAAAAGAAACAAGTGCACATAACATCAATGCCACCTCTGAGAAAAATCATCACTACACGAAGATACAGTATACATAATACAGTATAACATGCACTCTCCAATGATAAGCTAGAAGATCCAGAGTAAGTAAAGATTTCATACTTGTGCGGTTTTTTGTGCAAAATTCTGAAAGACCATGACAAAAATCACAGACTGAAAAAAGTTTTGAGATTGCCAGACAAGCCGTGGCATTCGATAACCACTCCAACGACCGGATCGTTAGCCTGCAGCTACAGTCACATTAAGTGAACAAGCTTAAAGTTTTGAGCTGCTCATCATGATAAAATCCGAGGCCATAGAGGCAGTTTGGAAGGGAATAAAGAATCTTGCTTGCGAGGGGCCAGCCACGACGGTGCTCTGCAGGAAGTGCCACACTTCAACATGCTCTGTCATCATTAGCATTTTTATTGGCTACATGAAGAAGGCAAAATTATATTAAGTTAAAAAGAGATTCTATTTGCAGAAAAACACATGCACTAGTAACTCAGTGTGGCCACGTTAAATCTCTTGAGTTTTTTTTCTCAGAGTAGTGCAAATCACAACACTGGGAAATCTATTTAAAAGAAACTAAGATTTTTCTTCGAGGGAATATGTGTGCTAAAAATAGAGATAATTTACTCATCAGACATACTCTGAGTACGACTGAGGAGTGGTATTCACAGCATTTTATTTTCTGCTGAATGCCACTGAAAACAGGATAGAGAGCTGTGTTTGGATACCACACAGCCACCTCATTGTGCGCTTTCAGGTGATTAAGAAAAATAAAGCTTCACAAAGACAAGTAGAGTGAGCTGGTAAAAAATTTAAATCTGTGATTGTCATGTGTCTGATCTGATCCAGGAGAGCATGGCTTTACCATTCGCAATCATTTGCACAAAGAAAACAAAGAAAGGGCAAATGATACAGTACTGTACCTCCATGGTCTGAGACTGGTGCATGGCTTTGATTGCATTCTGTGCCATTGCCCTTGTAGAAAATGTGACAAACGCACAGCCTGTGGGAACAAGGGGACAGGGAGCAGGAAAGACAAAAAACAACAAGACAAAAGGGTTGGACGCTTGTTAAACCAACACAGTCTACGAGAACGGCCACAAGACGACACTGTTCTCAGTAGTACATAAAAATAAACAACTTCTCTAGTTTATTTATCGACAGTGCTGACTTGCTAATCTGACCATAGATGAAAGAAAAAAAATTAGGTGGGGATGGGTGATGTGAAGGGTTTTTGTTTGAATTGTTTTTTTTGGTTTTTTTTTTTTTTTTTTTTTTTTTTTTTTTTTTTTTTTTTTTTTTTTTTTTGTTTTTTTTTTATGTTGTTTAGTTTCTGTTTCTGTTCTTTAGCCACAGGGTTTGAAATAAGTAAGGCTTTTACATAGCCTTTGGATTGCATAGTTAAGTCTATTCAGACCATGCATTAACAATTGCTTGCTTTTGTGCAGGTAAACTGTGAATAAATGACTGGCATTACCGACAGCTGAATTGGGAATTTAATACAGGGGTCCATTACATCACACATTACTGTGATGCATCAAGAATGATCATACAAATTAGAATGAGAAAAACTCCACTGCGTAGCCTGTGACTATGTGTGAAAAGACTCAGACAAAATTCAGTAATGTAGGTGGAATCCCAACATTAAAGAAAATAACAAAAATAAAAATCTTTACTATTTTTGTTTCTCTGAGTCCTAGGTACAAGTGTAATTCTAAAGCTATCGCCATCTTGAACAATTCTGAAGCTATGTGCATGAACACCTGAAAAATCACTTTTTTTTTTCCTTCTCAGCCTTTTAAATCGTAATGAAAAGCCAGTAGGCTAATGCCTGGGCTATTTTTCCACCCTTTTACTACTGTCGGCCATACCTACACTGGGCATGGTACAGTTCAACTTTTTTAGTGCATGACTCACTGCCCTTTTGGCTAATAAAAACACTGCCTCCTGAGATTTACATTTTATTCTTCATGCACCCTTGGGCATCTTAAAGAAAAAGACTGTGAAATTAATGCAGATTCAGGCTGATTTTGTAATAATACCATGGCACACTAAAAGCTTAGCTAAAGCAACACAGACTTATTTCACTTGTGATCTCTAATGACTTTAAAAGTGCATTGATTTTCAGCTCCCTTAGCCTTGCACAGTTTGAACTTAGGTTTCAGAGAATAATTTAGTGTTCCACTCAATTTCCTCAAAACATTATTATTATTACTACTTAAAAGATTTCCAAATGAAGCAGATCTAAGCACTGAGAGGCTAAAGCATATTGTCATTTGAGAGCTAATGCATGAAAGCTACATTCTGGCATCAAAAATACAATATTGTTGCCCCTGTGGCCAATGGGCAAAATAAACCATTTTGCAATCCAACAAGCAACAGATTGTTTGGTTTATGCAAATCAATTTGAGGCATAAAATACCTTTTCTTTTTAGCTCTGTGTGTACCTGGTAAGATTATCAAGTCAAGACTGTATTCACATTTTAATCAAACAACAGTAAGAGAAAGCAATGCCTGATCATTACCCAAAAGCACTACATCTAGTCATGAAAATAAAGTCAATGCATTTTTGCATCATGTGGTATTTGTTTTTCCTCTTTAATGCAAAGGCCCTTGATTCAAGAGAACCTAAGCTGTCTTACATACCTCCGGCTGATAGGTGAGCATCATAAAATCAGAAGTCATAACTCTTTTACCCAAACTTCACGTATTTCTTAGGTAACAAAACAGCTGATGATGTCTTACTACTGTTTAGCCACACTACATGTTGTTATAGTGATCTTGTTCAGCAACAAATTTCTGTCACAGAATATGATGTAACAAACCAGCTTTCTGTAAAGCAATCTAGACAAAATGTGCAGTAGAAAGGTAAATAAACCACAGTACCTCTGCTTAGATTCCATATTGCTGCTGTGCACTAAAATTAAAGAGGCCCAAATTTACCATCAGTCTCACAGTAATCTCTCTTAATACCATTTCTATTATTCCCATTAACAGAGGAAATAACACCAAGGGCTTTCATTTTTCATCTTGCAAATTCAATGGGGGATGAGCACAAATAGAGATATACTGGAGGGCAGGCAAGGAACCCCATACAGAGCCTTGAATAATATTGTTGATAATGGTCAAGAAACTGCTTCACTCGCTTCTTTGGCTCTCATTATCCAGGAGTGTGTACCATAGTGACAATTACTGAATGGAGGGTTCGAATGCATAAGAAGCATGTAAAAAGTCAACAAAAATCAATAAGACACAGTTTATGCATTTATCACAATTTCTCCCCAGTAGTTCTGCTGTAAGTAACTTACTGAGAGATGTTGCAATTAGCAGGTCTCAAAAGAAATGTGAATCAGCAGAGAAACAAGGCTGCATTCCCCTCAAGATAAAGCAGACTCTCCCTTCCCTCCCTTAAGCTTTTTCTCTTTTTAACCACAGAGCTCAGGTGTTGGGGACTTTCGGTGCCCGACAACACTGCAAAGCCTTCCTCCTCGCTCCTCAGCCCAAAACCATTTGCACGGGTCCCGTTGCCTTTGTCACGGAGCAAAAAGACCTTCGTAGCAGATTTCTGTACCAATTTGAAAGAGACTTGTTCTGTGGGCAAGGGGAATGCCTGATGAATGAGGTTATGCAGCTTGAATATGAGCATTTGGAAACAGCATTCCACAGAGAGGATGGGGCTGCATTTTAATTAGGGTTTGCCAGCCAGAGGCTACAAGGTTAGGTCCCCTTGTTATCTCCAGTCAGCAGGCCACTTCCCACCAGTGGACAGCGGCCATTTGCACAGTAAATACCCAATTTACCTCAATAACCATGGCAAAAATTCAGTAAACAAAGTTATTTCTAAATTATTTGAAAACCCAGACCTTCAGTGGTTACCATCAAGCCCCCCAATTAAACTCTAGCTATATTTCCATTTAACTATCTTTCCAGACATTGCTACATGTATTCATATTCAAGGGTTATTTTTAAGTTACCAAAACTGGACGCTCACACACAAAATTTGTATATTTATTATGTGTGTGTATACATTATGTTATGCATGAAGTATGGGATATTATACATTTTATTATGTGTGAACTGTGAAGTCCTTTCCTTCTTAACCAGACTGCCACACCAGAGGAGAGCTAAGCCTGTATCATAGGAATAGGTCTACTTAACTCTATCACTTGCATTTGTAATTAAGGTGGTCAGAAATTCTGCTCTGGGATCCTCGTATTCTCTGCCATGGCCAATGGCAGGACCTTGATTTTCCTCTATGAGGTACATGTGCATTCCAGGAGGATGGTTTTGTTGGGCACCTAGAATTTAATCAGAAGCTGACGTCCAAGGAAACTGTATTTCATTTGTTTATGTTTCTAAAGGGTTGGGAAAACCCTTTCCAGCATACTCTCACTCACTGTATTGCGTGGACACAGGGGGTCTTTTGGGAACACACTGCCAGCTTTAGGGCTGTAAATCACAATTATAAGAGGACAAGACTAATCAGATTTCATGCCTCGTGGTGCAAGGAAACAAGAAAGATTTTCGTAGCCTCTTACCTCATCCTATGAAACATGGCATTGATTGGCATGCCGTGGGCTGAGGTCTTCCAGACCAATAGCTACAAGCAAACTATTTCTGTTCTACCACACTGAGTCCCGATACTTCAATTATTCCCTTCTTACTGGAGCTATGGAGCTCTCTGGGAGAAAAATTGTGGAGAAGGGGGTATTTCTATAGCTAAAGCCTTGAAATGAGTTCATTTTGTACCACCAGCTACCTAGTCACACCAAAAACTAGATTCTTCTGTAAATATAGTCATCCTGCAAGTCATTTGAACTTACTTTTCAGCTCTGGTTTCAAAATGTCAGGGATCAGTGGCAGAAGCAAAAGGGGAGGGAGAAAGGAGGTCTAAGAGTTTTAGCTGCTTCTCCAAGGCTGTTCTCTCACCCCCTACACCAGAAAAACAATTGACTGGGGAAAGGCTGCTGGAAGTAATTTCCTCCTGCAGGTGGAATTGGAGGCAGGCACCCAGCTCTGTCACAGGAGATGTGTTTTGGAGCACATTATCACATCTGCCATCTCTGTTGAGAGAACAACTAAACTCTCAGGGTTGCTCCTTACCCCCCCTCCCACCACAAACTGAAAAAGAAATTTGAAAAAGGTGTGAAATTTGATAAGCCTCCTCCTTGATCCGTGCAATCCCAAACCTAAGGCTTGCTGCTTGGGTGATTGAATATTTGAAATATTTAAAAAATATCAGCTCTGTCCCATTTCAGCTCCTACTCCATGTGATTCTTCTCATCTCAAGCTTTCCTAGACTGTTGTGAAATGTTCAGTCAGCAGTTCATGCACAGTCTAACACAACACCAATACTTGCAAGCTGCAAGTGAAGTAGAACATTTTTAAGTATGGAATCCTCAGGTAAGGTTCATACCTACACAAGAAACTCATCCAGCTACTGTGGTCTACCAGAGGTTTTAAAGCCCTCAGTGAAGCCAAAAGGAGATGCAAAACCCATAGACATTGTTTGGAAATTTAAAAACATGGTTTTAAAGTGCTGGAGATGAAAGAATGGCAGGTGTAAACAATTAAAAAAAAGAAGAAGAATATATACATATATATACAGTGACCATTCTGACACAGAAAAAGACTCAAGAGGTTTTCAAAGACACCTGAGCAATCACAGTGCTGTGTGTGGTGGCTGTGCAGCTGGGGCTGGAATGGTTGCACCACAGCTTCCCAGTTTACCACAAACAAAGTTTTTCTTCAATTTCTGTGAAGAAACAATAGTGAAAAGCTGCCAAATACTCTTCCAAAGAGTATCTGGGATCCTCTGAGATGAAAGCCTCTATTTAAAGAAAAGATAAGGCTTGAATAAAAAGCTATGGAAATTGAAATGTGACAAAAATAAACTCTAGTTGGGTTAAAATATTTCCAGCTGAGATTGCAAAGTAGACTTTCCCTTTTCTACACTCTGCTAATACAAACCAATCTGAAGGAATGAATAGCCTGGGAAACAGC